CAGATGATAGTGTTATATGATGCTATAAGGAGGCATGTAAGTTATACTTGTTGGCACCTTTCAGTCTTCCAGATGATAGTGTTATATGATGCTATAAGGAGGCATGTAAATTAAACTTGTTGGCACCTTTCAGTCTTCCAGATGATAGTGTTATATGATGCTATAAGGAGGCATGTAAATTAAACTTGTTGGCACCTTTCAGTCTTCCAGATGATAGTGTTATATGATGCTATAAGGAGGCATGTAAGTTTTACTTGTTGGCACCTTTCAGTCTTCCAGATGATAGTGTTATATGATGCTATAAGGAGGCATGTAAGTTATACTTGTTGGCACCTTTCAGTCTTCCAGATGATAGTGTTATATGATGCTATAAGGAGGCATGTAAGTTATACTTGTTGGCACCTTTCAGTCTTCCAGATGATAGTGTTATATGATGCTATAAGGAGGCATGTAAGTTATACTTGTTGGCACCTTTCAGTCTTCCAGATGATAGTGTTATATGATGCTATAAGGAGGCATGTAAGTTATACTTGTTGGCACCTTTCAGTCTTCCAGATGATAGTGTTATATGATGCTATAAGGAGGCATGTAAATTAAACTTGTTGGCACCTTTCAGTCTTCCAGATGATAGTGTTATATGATGCTATAAGGAGGCATGTAAATTAAACTTGTTGGCACCTTTCAGTCTTCCAGATGATAGTGTTATATGATGCTATAAGGAGGCATGTAAATTAAACTTGTTGGCACCTTTCAGTCTTCCAGATGATAGTGTTATATGATGCTATAAGGAGGCATGTAAATTAAACTTGTTGGCACCTTTCAGTCTTCCAGATGATAGTGTTATATGATGCTATAAGGAGGCATGTAAGTTATACTTGTTGGCACCTTTCAGTCTTCCAGATGATAGTGTTATATGATGCTATAAGGAGGCATGTAAATTATACTTGTTGGCACCTTTCAGTCTTCCAGATGATAGTGTTTTATGATGCTATAAGGAGGCATGTAAAATATACTTGTTGGCACCTTTCAGTCTTCCAGATGATAGTGTTATATGATGCTATAAGGAGGCATGTAAGTTATACTTGTTGGCACCTTTCAGTTTTCCAGATGATAGTGTTATATGATGCTATAAGGAGGCATGTAAATTATACTTGTTGGCACCTTTCAGTCTTCCAGATGATAGTGTTATATGATGCTATAAGGAGGCATGTAAGTTATACTTGTTGGCACCTTTCAGTCTTCCAGATGATAGTGTTATATGATGCTATAAGGAGGCATGTAAGTTATACTTGTTGGCACCTTTCAGTTTTCCAGATGATAGTGTTATATGATGCTATAAGGAGGCATGTAAATTATACTTGTTGGCACCTTTCAGTCTTCCAGATGATAGTGTTATATGATGCTATAAGGAGGCATGTAAATTATACTTGTTGGCACCTTTCAGTCTTCCAGATGATAGTGTTATATGATGCTATAAGGAGGCATGTAAGTTATACTTGTTGGCACCTTTCAGTCTTCCAGATGATAGTGTTATATGATGCTATAAGGAGGCATGTAAGTTATACTTGTTGGCACCTTTCAGTTTTCCAGATGATAGTGTTATATGATGCTATAAGGAGGCATGTAAATTATACTTGTTGGCACCTTTCAGTCTTCCAGATGATAGTGTTATATGATGCTATAAGGAGGCATGTAAGTTATACTTGTTGGCACCTTTCAGTCTTCCAGATGATAGTGTTATATGATGCTATAAGGAGGCATGTAAGTTTTACTTGTTGGCACCTTTCAGTCTTCCAGATGATAGTGTTATATGATGCTATAAGGAGGCATGTAAATTATAGGCCATTGTGAAGGCAGTTGTGGCTAGCAAGACGCACTCATGTTAAGAAAAGTCTTCTACAATTAGAGTATGGAATTTCAGGAGCTTGTTGCCATAGCGTATATTTAGCATGTATCTTCTCAGATGCTCAGCATTGTTCTTCTTCCTCATGTTCAAGTGGCTGTAAACTTTAGCGGAAAGTCCTGGTTGTTCCTAAACTTCCAGATTTAGTCTTGTTCCAGGACTTGAGTTTTGTGTGTGTATCCATTTGACAGATCTGGCTTATGTGTGTGTGCAGGTTGTTGGTTTCTTATCTTTCAGGCAGATGCACTCCAGCTTTGAAGGAAATGTTGATCCTATCTACGTTGGCCAGGCCCCAGTTGGGAACCTGCTTCAAGGATGACTGCAGAGAAGTGTAGATAGGTCTTGACTAGTATGAGCTCTGGTCCTGGTTATTGTTTTGTGCTGTATAAGGCATGAAATATCTACAAAATAAAGCTGTCTTGATGCTTGTGCAAGTTACAGTACATGACATTTTATCTATCCTACACTGTTATACTTTGTGTCTCTGTGTGTATTCGTTAAAAAAATATGTATATATATATATATATATATATATATATATATATATATATATATATATATATATATATATATATATATATAGATTCTTTAAACAATTAACCTTGTTGCTAAATTGTATATTGCATAATTTTATGAAGCTAACATTTAGCAGAATTTCATTGCTTTATGTTTTGCTTTACTTAAGGCTTGCATCCGCTAATATTTGCAAAAATAATTGCCTGATTTTTGGCATAATAAATGCTTGATTAAGGGCATAATTTCTGACTTTGGGTTGCATCAACAATAAACAAAAATATTGCTTGCTTAATGTTTGGGATGTACCACTAGAATTTTAGGGTGTATTTCTCACTTGATGTTTAAGAAATATTTCCTGATTTTTGGCATATTAAAGTGCTTGATTTTGTTTTTGTATGTAATAATTATTCGATGCTTTCCATATTCTTAGCAGACTTTTGCCTACCATGATTCTTCAGTAAGTAAAGTAAAGGACCAATTTCCACGCCTTTCAGGCGTATTGGGTATATAGGGCTAGACCTATATTTTATAGACCAACGGCACAAGATGGGTGATGTGGACAGCATTACGCTGGCTGCCTTTACTTCCCAGGACAGCACCCAGTAGCCACTCAAGGCTGGGTCAACCTGGGAGCCAAGGTCTTTTTTGAGAAAAGTCCGGCTCCGCCAGGGAGCAAACCCACAACCTTTTGAGCCGCAGACGAGCATCTAGCTGTTACACCACGGCGACTCCCATGATTCTTCACTGCATTATGTTTTAATGAAATTGGTTTTGCTTATGTTTCAAAGAGTGCATGGTGTCATTTGCTATTCCCCCCCCCCCCCCCCCTCTCCCCCCCAAAAAAATTCCAGTCTTCTCATCATTCTTTCACTTTTTATGTTTGGTCACAATTTACAAAGAAAATGTGGCTTCTGCATAGGTCACTTCATTGTCTATTTGGCGGCAGGGGGTGGGGGTCTCCATGACAAAGTGATCAAGCCATTTGCCTCATGCTCTGAAAGTTGTGAAATTTTTATGGAGATCCATGGGGATTGTCACTGGAGTTAATGAGTACATGTTTTTGTATGCTTGGTGCAGTGATCTTCATTGTTATTAATTGCTGGCTCGAATGAGTCACTGCATCTCTCCATTCACCGACTGACAAGAACGAGAAAACATGGACGCTGGCAGACGTTCAGAAGTTACACGTACTATTTATTTTCACTCGCTGTTGTTGCAGTCAGTAAATGTTCATGTACAACCGTAGCACTCTTAATCAATGATCTAAACAGTCAATCATACCTTTGTAACATCGTCGAATACACACACAATTCAAAGAAAACACAGTAGCTCCCTCCATCCAGAACGACAGTCATTCACAGCTGGCCACCGTTTCCGTCAGCCGCTTTTTTATGCCAGGTAGGCATTGGGAAATCACGCTATTCAGACGTCAACATTCTTCCGAACTTTCCACACGTACACCTTTCCCTTGGCCTAAACGAGACTGCCTCACAAACCTTTTCTTCGCTATTATATAGCCCTCTGATCTGTCCTGTTCTCGAATATTCTGGATAATTTCATTCTCACGAATTGTCGTGTCTGGCCCGTGATAATTCACATTTTCATGAATCCTGCCAGTCAACCTTCATGGTTTCACGTGAACAATCATGTTTCACATAAAACCTGACTTTCAGATGTCTCTCATGAAACTCAAGACATAAATCTCGTGTTATCTCAGTCAGTCAAACATTCGCCTTACATTTATTACTGACGTCATCTGTCGGGCATAACTTAATGGGGAGAAAATGACTCACTACACTTGGCAGGCCGCTAGCCATTTTGCGTAGAGTGACTGAACTGTACGGGATACAATCAATTGCAGTGAAGTCGATCCACTCGACTTTAACCTTTATAGTCGCTTTGGCCTCTTCAAAAGCAAATCATACCGGATTTTCTATAGTAATCAGCTGCTTCTCTTCCCTTAGTATCTCTTAACAAACCTGGTACTGAAAGACTTGAGCTTTCCATGCATGTCTTTCTCTGTCTTCCTGTAGCTCAGATAGAGATGAAAAAACATGGGCAGGTCATTGAGGAAGCTACAGGAAGTGGCAAAAGGTAGGAGAGCATTATGCAAGTTGGTGGAGAGCCTGTATTCCAGTTGGGGATAAATGGCAGAAGGAGAAGAAGATTGGCTGTGAATATACTCAGCCTCTTTAAAACCATTATGAACTAGAAACCTTGTGTAATATTGTGTATCTTATATTAAATATATTGTCATACATATTATTCTGGTGTATACATATTATTCTGATGTGTGATATTACAACTATGCAATGTTTAAGTGTGCTACTATGCATTTCTTCAGTATTACTTTATTTGATATTTCTGTATTAACTCTGTGTAATATTTCAGTGTTAATGCTAATTAATATTTTATGATATTTCAGTATAACTGTATGATATTTCAGTGTGTGATGTTTCTTTTACACTGTGACATTTCCATTGAACCAATATGTGCTATTTTAATATTTACCTGTTACTATTCTGTGATGTTTCACTCTTGAAACTATATGTTATTAACACATTTTTATTTTTGCTGTCAGGTGAGCGAGAGCACCACAAGCACCACGTACGAGATTGCTCGTCTGTCTACCATACCCAGTGACTTTACTGAACACAAGGTTTGTACATGAATATTTCAAGGCTTCTTCTTTAGCCCTTTATTCTCTACTAATGAACATAGACCCACATACCAGCTGGCACCAAGTTGTCCCCTCCTTTGCTGTCGCCAGCTGTTTCCTCTCATACCTTCCCGTCTTTGGATCCCATTTCTCTGTTTCACTTTTCAGTGTGTTTTAATTTTCCTCTTCTTCAAAATTTTTTTTTTTTTTTAAATGTACTCCAGGTGTCAAGGAAGATAACTTTTCCTTTGTGTTTACAAGCTGTAAACTCCAGTGGAAAGTTCCAGTTGTTCATTCATTTCTGGTCTTTGGTCTTGTTCCAGAGGTTGATATATGCATGCACACCAATTTTACAGATCTGGCTTATTTGTCTGCAGACATTTGGTTATTCAGATGCACACTGACTTTGAAGGAAGCACTCATAATAAGTCACGTTTTATAACTTGTTTGTTAGGGCGTCAGTGTCTGGCTCTTGCCAGGGGCCGCAGTATAGCCCAACCATAAATATGGTCTAATGGCTGAACGCGGTTTCTGGGACCTTTCCACGGTGATCCTCATCCACATGGTGGCACTTTGTGTCATCGGGTGTTTATTGCTAGTGTAGGGTAAAAATCTACTACTACTACTCCCCCCAACTAATAGGAACACGACATGAGACACGCAAGGATAATCTTATCTATGTGGTTTTCTTTAGGATGGTTACATGGTCTCGAGGTATGGTGTTCGCCTCGAGTGCTAGAGGTTCCAGGTTCAAAAATCTGGTAAGGGCTGAGATGCCCATGTGCATTGTTGTGTACATAAAAAATCTCTTGGCAGTTGGAAATTGAAAAGAGTAGCTTAACGGCGCTGCCCGGAATTTTGGGTTAAAAATCTACCCAAAGTATTTCAGGATGCTTTCCGGTGCTACATAACCTGTAGACTATGCTGAGCTTCTTCGGACTCAGACTTGAGTTAAAAGAAGAACGGAGCACTTAAGGGTTACTACCCATGTGCCATGATGTTGATTCGTTGTTTAAAACCTCAAATCTATCTTTATTAATTTGCTCAAAAAATGAGCTGTAAGAATGATTTGGTGTTCTTTGCTCATGTGGTTAGAAAGAAAGCTTTGGAGAACAACATGACAGGAAAGATCAGCAGCAAAAAGGACAGAGAAATAGTATGAGAAAGGATGCTGAATTGTCTGAGATGAAGGCATAGAGGAATATTATCAAAAGAACTGATTCAAAACACCATCACCATCTTTTTCTTGTTTTTCCTGTATTCTCCGTTAAAAGGGCAGCTGGCCAGTTGTGTTGTGGTTACAGCTAGGTCGTGTTATCTGTGCCTTTTGACCTAACACATTTGATTTCTAGAAATCTCTAATTAATCACCTTTTACAACATGCTTGCTAGGGGTAGTGGGTGTAAACTTCTCTCAACCCCTCCCCCCCCCTTTCCCGGAACCCACAAAAGGATATTCAGAACATCAACAGCTAAGATCTGTAGAGAGACATACTGACTTACACCAGCTGATGGAACACATGATGAAAATGATAAAGGCTTGAGGTTTGAACAACAGATCAACATCATGGCACATGGGTAGTACCCCTAAAGTGCTCCGTTCTACTTCTAACTCAAGTCTGAGTCCGAAGTAGCTCAGCGCAGTGCACAGGCTTTGTAGCACCGGCGAGGATCCTGAAAAATGTGGGTAGATTTTTAACTCCAAATTTTGCCTGGCCAGTGCCGTTATGCTACTGTTTTCAATTTTCAACTGCACAGGGATTTTTTATGTGCGCAACAATACACATGGAGTCTGATCTCACTACCCAGAGATCAGGGGAAATAACTCCATGCGAACCGAAAAAACCCGGGACCTCTAGCACTCGTGGTGGACACCATACCTCGAGACCACTCAGCCCCTGAAAATAATAAAGAAATTAGTTTATATATGTGTATGTATGTGTGTGTGTGTGCATATATATATATATATATATATATATATATATATATATATATATATATATATATATATATATATATATATATATATATATATATATATATATATATATATATACTAGCTGTACCCGGCCACGCGTTGCTGTGGCATAGTTTGGCTAAATGGAAATGAAAGAAAATAGAAATCGCACGTGTCTAATACAATCATTGTCTGCTCAGATAAAGAGATAGTCTTTGATCCCCACCCCACCCCCCCCCCCCACCCCTCCCCCCCACAACTAAATCCACCTACTACCCTCTCCCTCATAAAAGGTTTTTGAAAAGAAAGACAATGGAAATCGCACCTGTCTAATATAGTTAATGTCGCAATCATTCTCTACACATTTATATAGAGATAGTCTGGTTTTCCAACTTTAGAACACGCACCATATAATCGTGTCTTTATATTAGTGGTCGTTTAAATGGTGCTATTAGCACAGTAACAAAAGTGGTTATTTGGTTATCACATGCTAAAGCTGTTTGTATTTTTATAGGAGACGTGCGTAAAGCTACTACTGTGCTTGTAAATAACAAAGTAAGTCGTACAAAAATTAGAATAGTGAAGATAGCGTTAGTAAAATATAAACAATTTAAGTAAGTAATGAGAACTTAAAAATCATGTGTAAAGCTCTTCAAGTTCTCTTAAATTTCAGTCATTACCCTCTCCCCTCCCCTCTTCCACCAACTACTGCTCTCTCCCTCTTCGAAGGATTGAAAAATCATCACCTGGCGATATTCTTTTTGTTGTAACTGACATTGACATCCCTGTCCATCCGGACTAAATTGGGAGCAGGAATTGTAATAGGTAGTGAATGGGGCAAATGTAATATTTACCGCATCATCCTTCAAGTACCAGTACAAATACTACCACGACCACCACCATAGTAGCTAAAATAATGTCACTGCTATCTGTTTTACCATCGGAGTAGACAGGGAGTCGTGAGCCAGAAGATTTGGCGCCGCATGGCTAGTGCTGTCGCCACGGACTGGTCAGGTTAGGATGTATGATTTCGCTCCCCGACAGAAGAATGCCATAACCTTACCGGCGGTCTTCACATTAGAGCACTACGGTGTAACCGCCCAACCACAACTACTACTGCTGCTGCTACTTTGAGTGGGTAAAGCAGTTACTGTGACTTAAAGCTCTCTCAGTAATCAGTTTGTCCCCCCACCCCCAAATTCACTGACTACTCTTTCCCTCATCGAAGTAGTTGAGAGGGGAAAAAAAAACAATTGAAAAGCAATTAAAACAGGAAAAATACACCAGAATTAGGAAATGAACGCTAGGGTAAACAGCACAGCTTAAAATTCCAACAAAGATGAAATAATTAAATCTAAATGAAAATAAATGGAAAGCTATGAAATTTCAGCGTAACTATGCAATCGAAAAGTTTAAAATGAAGTCATAAGTATGTGAAATGATCAAATTTAATTATCAACTGGTTTACCCACAAACCTGTCCTTGTTTTTTTTTTTTTTTTTTTAAATATATATCATTAAGGGCCATATGGCTAGTGCTGTCGCCACGACAGTGCAGGTGAGGGTTTTTATTTTGGCCCTAAGTAAAAAAAAAAATACTGCGGATTCGAACCCTGGTCTCCCTCTCAAGAGCCGAGTGTTCTAACCATTCGACCAAGCAACCACTCAATCGTAATAACGAAAAGAGAACATAACTATTTTAGATGTGTGTCCCTACTGCAGTGTCCCGATTATAACACAACTCAAAACAGCAGGCAATTGTTTTCTCATAGACAGATATTCCAAATATATTAATGAAACGGCACAACAAAAGAAATCGCACGTGTCTAACACGGTTAATGTCGCAGTCAATGTCTGCGCAGACGCCGGGATAGTCCCTGATGCCCCCCCCCCCTCCCTCTTTTTCCCTACCAATCCATCGGCTACTTTTCAACTCATCGAAGGATGTTTGAAAAAAAACAGAAAATAGAAATTGTGTCTAATATAGTTATTGTGGCAATCACTGCCTGCACAGATATAGATATAGTCTTGTTTGCTGTACCACGACCTACTCTATGTATTAGAGGAGGTGTTCGCTGCACGGCTCATGCGCAATTACTAACGTGGCTATAATTAGAAATCACTAAAATTATAAATATTAGTTTCGAATATTATGGCTTAAATTGTGGTCACCTATCTCTAACAGTGACAGGTTGAATTTCAAACCATGATGGTTCAACATCCGGTATCAAAACAAACATATCCTGAAAATGTCAGCTAAATCGGTTCAGTAGTTTCCGAGTCTATAGGGGGCAAACAAACACACAAACATTGATAGTAACTAATTGGCACTAATGAAATATATATATATATATGTAAAGTAACTGTTTGTCACTAATGAAAAAAAAAAAAAAAAACAATATATATATATATATATATATATATATATATATATATATATATATATATATATATATATATATATATATATATATACACACATTATTTTTTAGTAATGGCTCAGCAGTCAGGAAAATCAATTCATAGTACAATTCTCTGTTTACCAGGGTTCAAATCCTGCAGCGGGCTGTTTAAAAAAAAAAAGACAGTTTTCAAGGCTTTCTGACACTGGTACAAGAGTTGCACTAGGGAAAAGATTTGCGCCTCACCCAAAAATATACACATATGTAGCTGTGGATAAATTACAGCCAGTCTCCAATACAGAGGCAGCAAAATGTTTTATTTATTTCACTTAATGAACCATATTTCTAATTTAGGTGACTGTAGCCATCATTGACCTGAAGCCAACCTTGACCTATCTGACAGTGCCCAAGGTAGTGCCCCATGCCTTCCTGCAGGCTAAAGTCATCAACTCATCTCCATACACTCTGCTGTCTGGCAGGACAAACATATTCCTGGACAACAGCTTTGTGGCCAAGGTGGGTGGAATTGTCCTTCAGTCCATCAATCAATTAACCAGTCACTCAGTGTGATAGCATCTTTACTCGTATTTGTACATTTGATTACACTTCTGTTTATCCATCTCTTGATGTCTTCTTATTTATAGAGCTGAGTTGAGAATTGGCATCACATCACTTTGGGACATCCCCCAAGCATTCAGTCCCTATCTCTAGCAGCCAGCACAGAGTCCCAGCTCTGGTGGTTCCAGTTTCTGTCTGTTTGCCTTTCTTCCAAATGTTGAGTGTCTGCCACATCTCTTGGTCACCCACTGTGGCACCTTTCTCTCCAGACTGTGATGATCTGTTTCTCCTTCTGCGCTATTCACTCACTTCCAACAGGCCTTGACAACATCTAGTCTGTCGTACATCAGTATACTACCAAGTGGTGCAAAACCAGCCAGTTCTTCTGCCTGTTTGTAATCAGTCAATCAATCATCAATGTGTATTATCCCCAAGCCTTGTCAGCTCATATACAGAAAACATTTTGAAACAAGTTGGAGATTTTCCTGGAATGAATATCAATGGAAGAATATTAAACAGTTTTAAGATAGTCAGTGTTTTTACAGTCTCTAGTTCATTTTATCCAATGATGTAAATGTTATCTGCATAATCAAGTATTCTTGTAGTTTCTCCTATAGTATATCCTACAGAGATAATATCAAGACTGGGAATTAATATAAACTTCGGCCACATATAAGTCAATAATATGAAAATCAAATGAATGGAAACATGTAAGTACTTGGGTGCAAACTTCAGCTGCTCCACTATGTCCTTCAACATCTGCTAAAGTCAGAGACTCTGTCTCGCAACACCAAGATAAAAACATATAAAATGGTGGGTGCTTTTTTAATATCCTACCCCAAACAGAGAAAATCCATGAGTCATGGGACAGTCTAATATTTCAGGGGGTGGTAGATAGGCTGCATGCAGTCGTGCGACCTAGGTTGCATGCAGTCATGGCACCTAGGCTGCACTCTCTCGTTAACCCAGTTCTAGATGTTTTGGGATCGTTAAAAGCATCAGAAAGCCGGGAAACCCAGTCTCACCACCCTCTATAATGTTGGACTATACTGTAACATCATCTGGTGTAGGATATCACGAAAGAACCACACTTTGATAAGACCATCATTTATATGGCACTGAAATTTTGAGCACAGCTAAAAGAGATAAAGCCTTATTACAAAGTTTTGAAAACAGAGTCTTACGATGAAACTTTTGGCCCATCAAAATTGCAGACAGCGGGTAATGGAGAGTTAGAAGCAACAAAATTCATAATCTGTTTAAATCACCATTGGTCACTGGTATCATAAGCACTAATAGACTGAAATGGCTGGTTCATATTGAGAGAATGTCAGATGATAGAAAGGGTAAAACTGTATACAGAAGAGAGCTCAATGGTCATAGACCACGAGGCAGACAAAGATAATATCCAGATGGACCTACAAACACCAACTGAAGAGAGAAGGCCAAGAAGAGAGACAAATGGAGGTGGGTGATATCTGCAGTAATGAACCTCAAGGGCTTGGAATGCTGAAGTAGAAGTAGAGATTCTGGTGATACAGTATTACTAGTAGAAGGTGAGCAGGAGTTACAGGATCTAGTGGATCAAGTCAACAGATGGAGTGTATAGTTTGGTTTAGAGACAGAAACTGATAATTAACAATGGAAAGGATTGAACAACAGTGAACATCTCAGTAAACAGAGAGATTGTACAACAGATAACAAGTTTGTCTTTCTTGGACATATGATAACAGATGATGACAGCTGCGAAACAGAATTAAAAAAGGATAATAAGAATGGCTAAAACTGTCTTCAGTGAGTTTTGAAAATTATTGACAGATAGAGAAATAATCAACACACAAAATATTAGAATTGTCAAAGGTTATAGATACTCAATTTTGAAGTCATCATCGTCATCGTTGCTCAGGAGAGCAAGAGGCAGACAGTGAAAAAAGTGGGAGGACTACATTAAGAGGTAGATGAACAGCAGGCTAAGAGTGAGGGAGTGTATCACCAAAACAAGAGACAGCAAGTGTTGGAAATCTATTGCAGCCAGCCTTGATTGTGGCCATGTCACCTGATTGATTGATTGAGACCTCTTGTTATTTGTAGGCTTTGAGCTTTTCCCTCCAGTATAGTTTTCATAAGAGTGTTTTTTTTTTTTTAAATATGGTCAAGATATTTTACTTGTCCAGTCTTGCATCAACTCACTTGTCATTCCTGATCTCTCTTGATAATGCTAATATAGTAAAGAGGTGCAGTTGGCTGAGTGGTTAAGAATACTGTGCTTTCATTCCAGAGACCCAGATTAGAATCCTTGGTAACATAATAGATTTTTCTGTCATGAAAAATAAAATCACAGTCCATAGCCACTGCACTAGCCATGTGACCCTAAATCCTCAGGCTGAAGACTTCCAAGTCCTTCACCATCTTAAAAATTGGTAAACAGACTGTAAAGACAGACAGACATATGGTAAATTCTGTCTGGGATCAAGGGAAGAGCAGAACAGAGTATCCACAATTTTTGAGACTTCAGCAGGGAGAGTACAGAAGCAAATAAAAGGCAGACTTTCCAGACAGTGGTCTGGAATCTACTGCAGAACAGTGTTCTGTTAAAGCACCTAAGTGAATCAGTTGTTCCACCAAGTCTGTAAACTGCATGTCTCTTTAGCCTTACTGTATATACAATGAGTCAGTGTCGTGAGAAGACATTTATCTTGTGTGACTAAATAACTACAGTAAAGCCCCATTAACACACATTCTAAGTGGTAGAAAAATCAAGAGTTTGTGTTAATAAAATGTGTGTCAACCATGGACTAATAATAGATGTATTATGAATAATGCATCACTGCTGGAACCAACATTTTTGTGTCTTTTTCAGGCTGACATCAATGCTGTTGCTCCGAAGGAAGAGTTTGAATGCTCTCTTGGCGTCGACCCTGGACTGAGAATCAACTACAAGCCGCTGGTGAAGGTCAACTCCTCCTCTGGCCTAATCTCCAAGACACTGTGTATCAGTCATGAACAAGCCATCGAGGTTAAGAACATGCATGACTACAATGTGAAGGTCGTGATCAGGGACAGCCTGCCAAAAAGCTTGGATGAAAAGATCAAGGTGAATTGTTCATTCACCAGTGTTGTTTTTTAGTGATCCAGTGATGCCTGGGCTTTTGCATTATGGCCCAGTCATCATCCTGTGCCATGCCGATAAGTGTAGGTAATCATAGCAGACCGAGTAGTTGAAGCTGAGTGTTCTCTTGCGGGAGACATGAGTTCGTTCCTTGATAAGGGAAGGCAGTATTTTTTTTTTAATGGGTGGGCACAAATAAAAATGCTAACATGCACAATTTCAGATGTTTGCACAAGCCATGCAGCCTTAAATAAAGTTTGTGTTAAAGTTACATCATCAAGCTGAGGACCTCTACTCCCTTGTCCTATACCAAGTGGTCGATACTGGCAATAAAGGTCAGTCTGATATGATCATGTTGTAGGCTCATGTCGGAGCTCTTATCTCACTTCATCCATGTTGCCCTGTCTTCGAGATGTTTTATTCTTTGCCTTCCACTTGCTCTTTTCCCATCAAGTTTGCAAGTAGCTGTTCAGTCCAGTGCCAAGCAAAAGAAAGAAGAAGAAGAAATTTCTTTAGTATGTCTTTGCTGCCCCAGTCCATGCGTTTCCCATTTCAGAGTCTGGTTTGGGATCTTTGCTTTCTTTATCTCAGAATATACCCAGTCTTCTATCTTTTCTTCTTCTTTGTAGATACACTGGTTGTAATCTCTGGTTTAAAGTTCTGGTTGTTCATCCACTTCTGGACTTTAGTCTTGTCCCAGAATTTTAGTTTTATGTGCACTTTCATTCTGCAGATCTGGCTTATTTGTATGCAGACTATTGGTTCCTCATCTCTCAGGCAGAGCACTCTGACTTTGAAAGAAAACATCCCTAATTAGTTGCTTTGTACAGAATTCTTGTTAGAAAACCAGTGGGTCTATTCTTTCCCCCCAAACTGGGTCCGCGGAAGCCACATAGTTTTTTTTTTTTAAAGCACTGCATGCTGTTAAAAAATGATGCTTTAATTTATTTTATCAATGCCATGTGGTCAAACTAAAGTTTAAAATTTGTTTTTCTCGTTTCCACACACAAAGAATTCATGTTCAGCACCCTAAAAAGTGTCTGTATTTTTTAAAATCCATTTGCAAGAAACAATCTTATTTCTTAATTGTTTGGTCGGTGTGCAAGAAACAATCTTTCATCTCTGTTGTTTGGTCAAGAAACAATCTTCTGCTGTACTGTTTGGTCCATGCACAAGAAACAATCATCTGTCTCTATTTTTTCCCCCCGCATGCACTAAACAATCATCTGTCTCTATTGTTTGTCAATGTGCAAGAAACAATCTTCTGTTTCTGTTGTTTAGTCCGTGTGCAAGAAACAATCTTCTGTCTCTCTTGTTTGGTCTGTGTGCAGGAAACAATCTTCTGTCTCTTGTTTGGTCTGTGTGCAGGAAACAAATCTTCTGTTGTGTGTAAGAGCTCGGCACACAAAGATGTGAAATTTGACAATCTTGTAAGGAGTGGCTAGATTAAATGGCTGTCACCTCCATGTCGAGGACACCTTGGTGATCCTGGGAATTGAAGTGCAACGGTACTGGTTTCAGAGCACCATTTTGCACATCCAGAAGATATTGTCTGAACCTGTCAGCCATTCGTTGACCTGTTTCACCAATGTATTTCATGCCACATCTCTTGCAGTTGATGGTACAATAGAATGCTTCACTAATGTGAAAGGTGGCGTTCGGAAATTCTAGACAATTCACCTGGACCACCTATGGACAGGTCCTGCATACATTTAATTAGTTCATTCATTATCCTTTTGAGCCACTGTAAATAAAACTTGCAGTCAATTTAATTTAAAGGTCTTTGCTTCTCCAGTCCATTTATTTCCCATTTCAGTGTCAGTTTGTCAGTGACCTTTTTGTCTCAGAA